GATTTTTTTTATGAGGCAGTGCATTTTACAATAGCGTTTTAGGTTCGGTCCCTGCATTCAGAAAAGGCTCATCTCGAAGCCTCTCCTGGCAGCCCCGAGGCGCAGCTCGAAGCAACGCTAAACCCTGCGCCGAGGACCGCTAAACTGGATCCGAGCCTGGGGCTCCCTCCCCCGCCCCGATTGCTCCCCAATTTTGCCCGGGCAAGGCGCTGGCAGCGATCCTTCCCAGCCCAACACAGCGCTCCCAGAGTGGCCGCTGCTTCCTGCCAGCGCTGTTTCCTTTGTCTCTCATTTCTGTCTACGCCACATTTTCCAGCCGCTGCCATTTTAGAGTCTGAGCTGGGCGGGGGGAGGAGGAGGAGGAGGAACAAAGGCAGCAGCAGCCGGCATTTTGATTTCCCCTCAGTCACCGCATGGCGGGGCCGGCCATTAACATCCGCTTACACAACACAAAGCGGGAGCCGGCCGGCTTCTGCCAGCAACAGCCAGAGCCGCCGTCCCTTGTGAGGGGGAAGGGAGGAAAAGGGAACCGCCCTACCGAGAGCTCCCCGAGCCTTCGGCATCGACGAAGCGCCCGGCCAACCCACTGACCCACAAACCTCCAGCCAGCCCGCCGCTCCCTAGCCCACCCCCACTGGGGACGGGGGGGGAGAATCGAGTTCTGCGTGGACCATCCGTACTCGGGGGTACATCCCCGGAGGGGGGGGGGGGGGGGGCCCTTTTCCCCGCCACAAAAAAACCACCCGCGCCCCTCCTAAGCGGCCACACACAAGCGGGGGCTGCGCTGAGGCGGATGGACCCAGCCCCGTCCCAGACCGTGCAGCCACCCACGCACAGCGGCCGCCATCGCCAAGAGCTCCTCAAGCCAGTTCCCCTCCCCCGGCCTCTCCTCGCGAAGCTCCGGAGACCTCCAGAAGGCAAGAGCTGAGGAGAAGGGCTCCAGGGCCCAGCGCCCGCGACTCGCCGCCATTTTAAACGGCTTTAAAAAAAAAAAAACAAACAACCACCACCAACCACTAGAACCCCACAGTCGGTCTAAGAGTCCGGACGCTGGCGGCGGCTAGCGCCGGCCGGGCCCCCGGACTCACCCTCTATCCCTGTCGCTGGAATACCCGGGCATGGTGATGGTGGCGGTGGGCGAGACGATCCCGGTCACTTAAAACGGGTGTCGAAAGGTAGGGCAGGATCCGACGCCGTTGGTGGGGGCCACCGAATGTAGAGCGCCTCGCCGCCCGGATGCCGGTTATATAGGGGGGGCGCGGGGGCTGCTGGGAACCGGCTGGTGACGCAGGCGCAGAACCCGCCCCTTCTGTTATGTAAGCGGCCCGAACTGGCCGGAATCCCCGCCCCCTTCCCCTGTGGGCGGGACCGCGGCTCGGCCGACTGACCGGCTTCTGCGCTCGCGGCCGGAAGTTCCCCTCCTCCTTAGAGGCGTGGCCTTCGCCGCCGTCACTGCCCGCAGCGCCCCGCCCGGAGGGGCCCGTGCTTTCCCCCATCCCCACGCAAGGAAAGGCGCGAGCGGCTGCGCCTGCGCAGAGCGGGCGGCGGGCCGCGGACTAATGGCGCCGACTCGTCGCCTGGCTGAGGCCTCTCCCTCTACGCGCCCGTGGGCCGCGAATCGCCCTTGGCCTGACGGGAACGGCGATTTCTCCCCTCCCAGCCTTTGCTAAGTGGCGGCCTGATGCCTTTCGGCCTCCCGGTTTGTCCACCCAGAGAGCCGCTCGGCTCCTGGCTGGCGCGCAGGAGCAGCGGTGAGGCAGCGTGCTTCAGTTTGGTCCTGGCTGGGGCTCACAGTGAAGTTCCCCGACCTCAAAGCCTCACAGATGCTTAAGAGAGACGTGAACTGTTTGTGGAAAGCCTTCCGCAAGCGCTCCAACAGAGAAAACCCAGGCTCAAGTGGAGTTGCCACGTTTTAACTAGTAACTGATACTTGAAGGAATGGTAGATTCAGCCGCACGCCCACCTGGATTTTCGAGAGGCTGAAGAGTTAGATGTGCAGATTCTCACGGTGACAACAGGTTGGACACAATCGTAATAGCAGATTATTAAATGTTACTTTGACCAGTGCTTTTACACTCTTACCCATTGCCTTTTATAAATATTAAATACTTGGGATTAGAAACAGTTAACTATTTTTATCTTTTCAAATTCCACAACAGGGCTAGTAAAGCAGTTCAAAGGTCACCAGAAGCGCACCAGTGCACTGAAGGACAGGGCTGTTTAGAAAGCAAACGTATAATAAACATCAAATACCTGAAGTGGGTATTGTGGTGCTTACCTGCCCAGCTTTGCTAGCCTGAGGAATTAACAAGAATGTCTTGCTACCTGAGGCTTTAAGCACACAAAAGAAAAGGTGGAGCTTGAAGCGTAAATATAAGCAGCCATATTGCAGACCACCTGTTTCAAGCAGTGGCAAATGCAAATGCAAACAACATAAGGAAGAAGTGCCATAACAACACTCTCAGTTTATATCCTCCCACCTTCTAGCAATCCATGCTTTAAGGCTTTTCTGAGACAAAAATAACTTAACTGTATTTGATGGCCATTTCTTCCCATTTTTGTTCTATTTACGCTCTTAGCTTCTAAGATACCATGACAATGTGTTTTACAGTTTAATTGTACACTACCAGAAAAATATTTCCTTTAATTTTCAACACGTTGCCTGGTAAGAACAAGGGGCACAAAACAAAATGAGTTACTAAAAATGGTGAGTTATAATTTTCTATTTATTTATACACTGTGGACATTAATATCTTCTAAGTCACCTCCTTTGTAAACCAAAGTTGCAGTCTAATTCTTTTGCCTTTAAAAGCATTTCACACTTCTGATTATCCTTGCCATTTTCTCTTTATTGGCAAGAAATGCACCCAGTATTCAAGATCTGGGCCCCATACAGATTTACATAATGAAGGCATAAAGATGTTTTTGATCTGTTGTGTATTATTTCCTAATGATTTTTTTTCCTTGTTTTTGATTGTTGCTAAGAATGGAGCAAGGTTTTCAAGGAATAGTACTAGATGTTTCCATGATCTCTTCCTCAAAAGTAACACTTAAGTTAGGCTTATCTTTGTTTATGAATAGCCACAGGTGTTCCCCCCTCAGAAATCTGGAATACCACCCCGATCAATCACTTTTTCTTAGTATTAATTTGTTCTTTTAGTAGCACTTAAATTTGAGTAGGTTCATTAATACTATCCCTGCATATTTCTAATAGAGGATCCTCCCCATTTTTTTTCAGTATGGGGTTACTGATTTAATGTAGCTTGTTAAAGGTTTTTCTCCCCAAATACTCCTTTTAATGCCCTATATCTACTGACCCTATAGGCTTCCTGCTTCTGGTGGTCTGAAAAAGGTTTTTGCAAAGGCTGTGAAAGTAGCAAATTGTTGATCTTTTCTTCTTCTTGCCTATTACATTTAGCTTAACACAGCTTATTTTGGTTTTTTTTGTCTGTAACTTCGTGGTTCCTGTTACTGTGCCGTTTAACCTTGCTAAGGTTTTAAAGAATTGAAAAGACTAAACAAAAACCTCATCCTGGTCTCGCCTGCACGTGTTTAGTCTGCACGTAACTCCTTTTGATTTCCTCTGAAAAAAACTTCCTCATTTTTGTGTTCTACCCCTGTAAGTTAAACATCATTGATCTTCCTGTGCTCTCTTCTTACTTTGAGGCAACATGCGAAGCAAATCAATGCAGCTTTGCAGAGCTGGCTATGTATCAAACTGAAATCCATGTTCTAGTATTAATTTTGGTAATACTGATATGGATTTGCTTATATGCACAAAAGCTCTTTTATTAAAGCAGTATGTGCGTTTGGATTAAATATCTACAAGTTATGGCCATAGACTGTTACAGCTAACATTATCACTGATGTTTACTTGCTGCCAGTCATTGTTCTTGGTTGTAACTGGGATCTCTGCTGCTTCTGTCATGCTCCAGGAGTTTAAGGATAAGGGACACCATTATTTCTAGTTCTGTGTGACTTAATGCAACACAGAAATTCCAGAATTCCTAAGGAGCACGGAATACCGCTGCTCAGTAAGGAAGATATAATACGCTTTCACCATCCACTGTCTCCAAAAACCTGTATGCTAGCAGCTAGCACAGGAAGTTTCACTAGACAAAACCTCATAAAATCTTACTTCTAGTAAAGGCTCTAACGCTCCTGTATCACGCACAGAAGCTGTCACGTTACCCCGCGTTCCCAAGCAAACCTGCATCCCTCGCTCTCCGTCCGTAGGACAACCCCGTTAATGGAAACAAACACCCCCACGCCGGGCCTGCAAGGTCAAGTGCTAGAACCTTCCCCCGCCGGAGGCCAGCCCTCTCCCCACCTCATTTTGCTTGTGAAAACGCCAACAACCGTCTCCCTCAAAGGGTGACGAAGGCGGAACCACCCCGGGCAAACCCCCACCGCCGCCTTACGGGCCCGGCGTTTATGGCGCCGCCATTTTACACCGCCAGCCGCCCTCAGCAACCGAAACGCCTTCCCCGGCCAGACCCCGGTCCTGCCCAGGGGAACTCAGCGCACAGGGACCGGGGTCGTGGGCGCGGAGAGGCCCCGACCCCGCGGGAGGCCGGCGGGGCCCTTCACGCCGCGGCGAGGGGGCGCCCGTCACGTGACAGAGGCGCGGTGGCTGCACCAGGAAGCGGGGGAGGGGAAAGCCACGTGACCCGCGCTGCGGCGTGGCTTTGAGGCACAGGCGCTCTCTCTTCCCCCCCCCGTTTCCATGACGACCGTCCCCGCCACAGCCCACAACAGTAACGCCGGCGGATGCTTGAAGAAAACAGCGCCCGGCGGGCGGGGGCGGGGCCTTTCCGCGGCGCGGGCACGCCCCTTCCGGCGTAGCCTGCCCAATCAGCGCGGAGAAAGCCGAGAGGGGCTATTTAAATTCCCCGGGGGCGGGGCTGTGCCCGCCGTCCGTTGGGGCGCGAGGCGCCGTGCCATGGGCAGTGCTGAGGAGAGAGGTAGGGGCGGCCGGGGGCTCCTGAGGAGAGCGTCGCGCGCCTCTTCCCTCCCGAATTCGCTGCCTCCGCCGCTGGGGCTAGATGGTGGGGCGTCCCCGCCGCCCTGCGGGGCCTTGCGGTGGGGCGGGTGCGGGTCTGGGTTTCGGAGGAGCAGCAGCCGCCAGCCTTCGTGGCCTGAAGGGGCGAGGGAGGCAAGGTGGCGAGCTGCCCGTTCTCTCCCCTCTACCTTGTCATCTTTCTGCTGCTCGTATCGCTAACACTGTCCACTTTACTCAGATATGCTTCTCCTTAAAGGTGTCCTTTTTTTGCGTGGTGGCTTTTTCAGCTCTTTATGTTAACCTTCTTTCCCCTTCCGTGACACTCTTAAATTGATACAGCTGGAGAGGAACAGTAACTGAAGTTTCTAAGACATGTCAGTCTGAAATGTAGGAGGTGCTGCTTTAACCTTTCATACACCTGAGACTATTAAAATGTTAGGGTAAAGTGATTTCTGGAGCTGAGTGAAGACTATGGAGCAATGGAAAAATAACACTCCCTGGGTACAGAAGAGTAAAAATTGTACGAATTAATTTCTGTTGTAGTAATTATATACTTTTTTCCTTCCAAAGATGACTTATCCCTTCTCTAGTAATTTGAAGTCCTTGATAGTACTTGTTAAAATACTGTTTTGTTTGCAAAAGTAACATGGAGGGGGAAGATCTGACCTTAAGAGATTACAGACTAACAGACATGAAGGCTTTTTTTTTTGTTCCTTTCAAGTTGATGTTTGAGTTGCGTGACAAAGATGATGGTAGAGGATATGTATACTTCAGAGCACTTTGAATTCAGGATTCAAAGTTTTGGGAAAATAAGGCTGTTTATGCACACATCTCTCTGTACTTAACATAGCATGAAGTTGGTGGGACCAGCTCCGTATTGTAATCTCTAAACAGCAAACTAATAAAAGTAGTCCTTGAATTTAGCTTTCATGAAGAACACTTATATTAGCAGTGTTGTCATTGCCTAAGAGTATTAGGGAAACTGGGCTTGTAAGAGAGAAGCTCATGTTTTTCAAAAAAGTATACATAATGTCTGATTTTTTACAAAAGATGTATCAAAGCTTATTTTGTCAAGTCCTTCAAGGTTTGGAATTCCTGGTTATGCAGCAAGATGAAACTTGCTTTCTATTATGTGGAAGAAAAAGTCAGCTCCCCAGCCTGTGGCACTTTAGTACCCTTCAGCTCTCAAGTCCAGTTGTGCTGTGACTGTGTACTTGAACAAGATACTGGTGTGTATCATTCCTTACTCTCTGTCCATGTTTCCATCTGAAGTAAACAGGGCATGGAGCAGAAAGCATACAACATGTTCAGTGTTTTTGATGATTGGGATAGCATGACTGGGATTGACCACATATGGTGGAGTCAAAGACACTTAAACGGGCTTCATCTTGCACTGTAACTAACCATGTCTTTATTTCTGTGTCTTTCAGTTCTGACATTAATATGTTTTACTTCCTAATAGATTGGGTTGATGTTGCCAATGATCTTTTAAGGAGCTGTCACATAAACCAGCACATAAAGTATCTCTCTGAATGTGGTGCTGATGTGTTTGTTTGTCTTTATGAGTCGATCTTAGGAGAAAAAGTACCAGGTGAGAATGTAATTTCTAAACCTGCTTATTTTTTTGGCTCTGTATTTTGTAATGAACAAATTCAAGTTTGCAAAACTTACTGCAGATGTAGGGGTTTTTAATGTATTTGTATCCTTCCAAAGAAAAACATAAGATTGTAATTCTTTAAGAAGATTTAAGTAATATTGGCCAATTTTTTTTGACTGTTATGAATGGCAGCTATGAGGGGAGTTCACTACTATAGCTACAGCAAAACTTTTTCTATTGTAAATTAGGTCTTGAAAGCCATACATAGGCACAGTACCTTTGAAGGGTGTGAATTGGCTCATTTCTCTTAAAACAGTGTTAATACTGAAGCCTGTTCTCGTAAAATGCTTAATACTTATAGCCTGTCAAGAGCTAAGCTGTGATTTAACTCTGGTTTAACCCAACTTCATTTGACTTCAGTGACAATAATAAGCAAGGGCTATGCAATTATGTATTTGTTTGCTTTATGGTAAACTGTTGTGTTTCGGAAGTGTCAAGACTCCTACTTGCAGAAGGTAACTGCAAGAGGTAACTGGCAGCTATTGGTGGTAGAAGTCCTGTTAAATATAAGCCCAGAACTAAAAATAATGTTGCTCCCAATTAAGTAGAATGCATTGCAGTCCAGCTGGTCACTGACAGGGGAAGAAGTGATCTAAAGACAAACTGCAATTCCAACTTGATGATCTGAACTAGATGTGTGTGAAGGAATTAAAGTACTTTAGTCTCTGTTCTTGAGTTTAATACTTCAGCTGATAAAATCCTCACAACTTCCAGTGGGTATTCTAAGTTCGTACTCAATATTTATGAAAGATTTCATACAACCATATGATATTTGGGTGTTTCACCAAGTACACAAGGTATTGGAAAAAATACTAACTTGTAAGTGAAAGTTCAAGTACTTTAGTCAAAACATCTGCAATAAGCTACCCATTTAAATAGCCAAAATCTAGTATTTATTTTAAATAGATTTCATAGCTACTCCTAGAAGCCAAGAGGATGATGCACATAATGTACAAGCGGTAATAGATTCCCTGGCATTGGACTATTTGCAGGTCAGCTTGTCGCACATCACTGGTAAGTACTCATTTTAATGTAGACAAACACCAGCTGAATATCTGTGTGGTTTAATTTAAACACTTTATAAGAACCATATGTTAAAGCATACTTTCATACTTGGATGAAAGGTCTTTTTCCTGTAGTGAATGTCATCAAAACACTAAACCCTTGCCTCTGACATCAGGTTATAAATTTAAAGAGCAAGCAGAGAGCAAATAAGAGCCATCTTGTATGACACAGACCTGTAAGAAACGTTAAAGTTAGCAATCAATCATGCTTCACTTGTCTGCTAAAGTGTTTCCTTAAGTCTGTTACTGGCTCAGTGTTTTTTTTATATACAGGTCAAGCTTGGAGACTGGGTTTTAAAACATGAGCCTTGAATTTCAAACTTGTTATTAAGTTTTAAAAAGTCAGTGAGTGAAGACTTGAACCATGTTGTGTCTGTCCTTTGTACACAGATAATAGCTTTCATTGAGTATTCATATGTACAGTCTCGTATAACATAACCTGCAAAGAATGAAAACTGCTTGCTTGATATGAAATATCTCTTTCTAATTTGGTACCTGTACTGTATGGCTGGTATTTGTAATCCTGCCTGCCGGTCCACAGACTTGGTTCATGCTGTAGCTAGTATGTATAAGAAAAGATTAAATACCAACTATCCCTGAAAATACCCTTGATTTTTTTTGTGTGTGTGTGTAAGCAGGTTTAGCATCAATAAACTTTCAATTATTAGAATTGAAAATATGCAACTTCAGGAAACTTTTAGGATGCCTTAAGCTTATATACATAGCCATAAATAAGTGACCAGTTGTCTTCTGAGCTGACACCTTCACGAAAATTTCCAAGCACTCTTGTCCAGAAAAGTCCTGCTTTTGAGAATTTTTCTTCTGCCAAGTACTAATTATTAATATGTAGCAGTACCTTCTCTTCAGGTGAGAACATCGTGAAAGGAGAAAGGGAATCTATCAGAAACCTCCTTGAAATATTTGATGGTTTGTTAGAGTATCTTACAGAAGAAGCCAGTGAATCTTCTTCTCAGAATGGAGGTGAGTAGACAGATGTCCTCGTTTAAGGTATTAAGTTCTGCTACTACTATATTATATTATGAACAGCTTACTTTTTCTGTTTGTCTGCTATCAAGTTAGCTTGCTGAGGGCTTTGTTAGGTTCTCATGACCATAGTTCTTGGTGTTCATGGATGGAATAGAGCTCCCATAATAAGTAAACACTGTTTCTTGGCTATTCTCCTCACTAGCAGCTATAGGAAATGAATCCATTAGAAGATACAAGCTTTGTGAAGCCTTGTTTTGGGATATCCAAGGTGTTTCCAGTGTAGCAAAGATTTTTTTGGTGTTTTGTCTTATAGCCTTGACAATGCAGAAGAGTAGAAAGACTGAAACTGACCATGGGGGGAGGAAATTTCAGTGGCTAAACTGAGTATTTACATTCCTTATTTTCATAAACAATAATTACTAAAAATAGATAATTTATTTTCCCTAAAACTGGTTGAAAGGCAACAATTGGACAACATAATCTTTCTGCTTCATTCTTGTGGCAGAAGCCTACTCCAGACAATTCATCCTCTGTTAGTATGCTGCTTTTCAACTTGTTAGGCAAATGATTTATGGTTAGGATTCAGGGAGGGGAATGTTGACTTTAATTGGAACAGTGAGCATACATTGCTTTACCAGGAGACAAATAGGGGGATGACTTAATCTTTCCTGTGAAGTGGGTCTTGGGAGCAGATCCATGGCAGAGGCCATTTTGAGGAAAATGCTAAACAGGGGAAGAGAAGCTGCTCAGCTCTTCAGAGGCATTACTGTAACTGCAGACCGAGTACTGGTCTTCCTATCTTAGAGGTGATAAGAACTGTCATCACTGGCTGTTGCACCCTGTGAGTAAAGGGGAGAGCACTTGGTGGCTGAGACAGTTGCCTCCTGTCCTATTTCAGTGTGAATGGCAGAAAGAAGGCAGTAGCAATTTTCAGTGCCTGTACTTGTTCTTTTCCCTTCTCTCAGACTGCCAGTGTTGCTACCCAATAGGTGTTAGTGGCTCCAATTTACTAGTTGGAAGTACAGGATTTAATTATTTTGAGGAAGAAGAAACAGGTTATTTATAATTGAAACAATAGGTTATATGATAGTTGTATTGCTTTTCAAAACTTACCATAAAAGTTGCCCCCCGCCCCCCAAGGGGGGGCATTGCATGTCAACATTTTAGATATCATTATAATGTTTTATTACACTTAAACTGTTTTGATGATATTGGCAATAATACCTGTTAGTTAATAGGTAGTTTTCCTGAAAATAATTGCCCCTTAATTATTAACAGATGAGGCAAATGTGCTATCCAATAATGAAATTCAAATTACATCTCAAGAGCAGCTGGAAAGCAATGCTGGTCAACTTACACAACCTTCAATGTCCTCATCAGTTGAAGGGTAAGAACAATACTGAATATTTGCATTGACAGTGACTGACTATCTTTTTGTGTATCTGTAGAGAAACTAGTAGGGTTTTAATAGTATGCAAGTAGGAAATGTACTGATTACATATGTCAAATGGAATGTGAGGTAACTTTCTCCTTTAGTCCAGCAGCAAGAGGGCTAAAATTAGATCCAGAACTTTTTTGCTCTTGAAGAGTGCTGATGGCATTTTGTTTTAAGTTTACATGTGGAATGAAACAAGTTGAAAACTTTGTCTCGTTTTTAAATGATTGTATTTCAGTTAAACTGCATTTGATTTGTTTTCATGATTTATACATTGGCTTGTTTTGTAGAAGCTGGTCTCTTACATCCTACACTGCAATAGCCAGCTACCTGTAGTAGAGTTGCTGCTCTTCTGCAGCTCCATCTTGTGGACTGAAGCGGCAAAGACTTTTAGAGTAAATACTTCATGGCTTTATGTTCCTCTTAGGTCCCAGTCAGAATTTTTTGTTCCATCTGGTGACGTAGATGGATCAGAATCCACCAGTGAATTAATTAGACTTGGAGATACTGCTCATTCATTTTCCAAGAGAGAGGAAGGTAAGCTTGGGTGAAAAAAAAAATCTAAGACTACTCTGTAGTAGCATTTCTAGGCTTTTTTGTTATTTCTTTTTTTGAAAAGTTATTTCCTTCAGACAAATACTTTGTTTTGAATTCTTATTTTACAAAAAAAACCCAAACCACAATAAGTAAATGTACCTGTAGTTAATCTGGCTGAAGTTAAAATGTAGCTTTCTTAAAGTATTCCAGACCTTATTTTTCATGACTCCTGAGCTACATTATCTGGATGAAGGTTTGTTGTTCGACTTCTAATTCAGTTCTCCCTACAAAGGCATTTTATTTTGTTCAATAGAATAAAAGATTTATGAAGCCTTTAATTTATTTCATTTATTGCAGTATAAAATGTATTATTTAAGACTGTAAAGACACTAGTAAGTTCATTCGTAAAGAAGACATGTTAGGAGTGTGTGCCATTTAAAAACATAATGGGTGGTTCTGGAACAAATAATGTGTAGATGACTTAAATGGAGTTCATTCCTATTTTCCTATAAAAATATTCCTATTCTTAGAGGTGATTAATCTCTCCAAGTAGAGACATAAAGAAATATTGTGGATTATGATTTTATTATTTAATAGAATTACAAGTAGGAATTTAACAGACCTATTTTGATCATAGTATGGATTGCTAATACCAAGTTATTAACATACCAAACATGAAAATGGTCCATCTAAAGAGTTCATAGCAAGATGCTTTATACTCTTAATTTAATCTTTTTCAAATACCTCTTCTAGAATACCAGTTGCCTGAGTTGCTACCAGCAGAAAAGGACAAGGGAGTGGAAGACTCTAAAAACTCAGAGTCAACATTACCTAGAGAGTTCTCTGAAACTGAAAGGGCCATTGTAAAGGAAAAGAAAGATGGTGAGTATTCATTCTTCTGACAGCTAATCTACCTGATTTTGAGTAATGGATGTAAGGTACTAAGGTAGTATAGAGAAGCACCTTAGTCATGGATAGAAACACTTTAGCTATATTTTGAAATAAATCCTTTTCAGAAATTTTATATTTTAGATATTTAGATACTTCTATTTAATATGTACGGACAATATACAAAACTAACATTCTGCTTTCACAGATAACACTTAAACTTCAAGTTCTTCGTATTTGTCTCTTAAGGATCAATGGAGTCTGTTCATACCACTGAACCTCAAAAAGAGAGTTTGAGTGCCAGTGCTAGAAAACTTGGGGAGCCTATACAGCAAGCTATTCCTTTGCTACCACCATTTCAACCTTTGGAAGCCAGACCTCATTATCCTGGATGGAGAGATTATTACAGCTCAGACAGCCAGTCAGCAGCTTTGGCTAACAGTCAAGGAATGAAAATTCCTACTGTAAGTAAAAACCTGTCGTTTGAGAGATATATATATTTTTTAAGTAATCAGTACTGCTTTCGTTTTAAAACCTTCTAGTATACTTACAGAATGGGAATAGTTGGTCTCTGAAGAATGCTTCTGAATGTGTTGGATTTTATCTTCAGTTCAAAGAATTTTTGGTTGTGGATTCATTCTTCACTGAGTGTCCACAGAGGAAGTTAGAGGGATGTGTTTATTTTATACATACACATCTCCATAGTCAATGTAACCGCACAGTTTACAATATAGTAAACAAGATAATTATAGTGTATTTTTATTTATCTATAAAATCAGCATTGATTTTTCCATATGCAGACAATCCTAATGTATGACCTTCCTGTCAACACTCTCCTGCGAATTTATAGAAAACATGTTGCTTTTCATTTCAGCTTGAAAAGTCACTTACACAAAAAACTGAAGATGTTTCTGATAGTCTTCCTCTATCAAGGAAAATCCCTGGTGAGAGAGAATTTTGCTTCCTATAGGGTAACTCTTAAGTGTCAAATGTTGCATTTATTTTTATTGGCACTACAAGAAACATGGTTTTGAAACTACTACTGCATTTTTTTATTCAGCCGCAAGTTCATATTTCTATCTCTATTTTATAGAGAAACAAAAATAGGTTACTCTTAAGCTGTTCACTCTGCTGGACAAAAATAATCTGTGTCCCCAGTTCAACTTCTTTCTTAGTGAATCCAGTTAAGATGTGCCTATACTACAGAAATCTGTTCTAGCAGGTAACTCTCATGCCTGAGCTTATTCTGAGCAGAGAAACATGGACCAAACAAGTCAGTTTCAACTCTAGGAAAAATCTATTAACTGCTATTGTAGAAAAGGTTTAGAAGCTAGTTTTCAGTGCTTATTTTTCTCTGTTGCCTGGGAAACACTGGTTACCTTTCTAGTTTCCATAGCATTCCCATGACACTGAACATGTAAAACTTGAGAAATTACCAAAATGAATGTCACAACTGTGTAACCACAGTTGGTTTGTCATTCTGTTCTCTTTGAATAATTTGGATCCAAAGGCCATGGATCACATCTTTTGTTACTTGTTCTCCACATTAGTAGGCACAGTGCAGTCTATGCTATCAACTAACATTTATCTGTCATCTGCTTCTGCAGTGGGAGACAAGGTGGTATCAAATGATGCTGAGGACAACGTGGCAAAGGTAGATGCTGCATATTTACCTTATTTGTTGAAGTTCAGTCAATATTTTTGGATTTTTGCTTAATTCTACTGATATCCTATGGCACTTCTGGGCTTTTTTTCAAACCCGCTTTTGGCTTGCTTTCTTTAATATACAATCAGTGATGCAATGTTGCTAGACTATGACTATGTACAGTTTGTAGGTCACATCAGTTCTTTCTGGAGGTGTTTGCTCCAAGAAGTATGTGCCAGTACCTGTAGAGTTCTAATTTATCACAACCAACCAGTTACTAGTTATCCTGAGTTTAATCAAAGATGTATAAAACACAAGAGTACAGTGACATCCTTTCTCTGAAGTGTATCAGTATTCTAAATTAGTAAGAATTTTGTTTTTTCTGGGGTTGTTCATACTAATAAAATTCAGATTTTGCTCCTTTTCTAAAGATCACTAAACTGCCTGGCTGTATTCTTTCATTTTATTTCCTTGCACTGTCCTTTGCTTTTCAAAAACTGAATAATGCAAAACCCACAAATTGATCAGCAGATGCCATTCTGTGCTTGTAGAAACATGTCTGTGTAGGAAGCTCCTTGCTCTGGAAAACACTTACTTTGCCTTCTGCAACCACAAGAGGTACTCACAGACTTCATTTGTTCCAATAGTTTCAACAGCCTTTACTGCTACATTGTCTGTTTAAAACATTGTTGCTGTTTAAAACTCATTTTCCACTGGTGTGTTTGCAAGTATATGCATGCCAACCCCAAATTACTCCAGTTTGAACAGATAAGTTACCAGGCAGTACTAAACCAGTGTAACTAAATGGCATGAAGATCTAAGTGGGTTTTTTTAGTTTGCTGTGAATTGCAGCTTAGTCTATACTCAGTGAGGTTCAGCTTACTTGCATTACTTGGCATTAGTCCCAGGCTAATGAGGTAGTATGTAGGGATACTCATATAACTTAACCTAGACCTTGTTCTTCTGATTCAGTGGTTTAGCTGTAGATGATTCTTGAACTGACCTTCTATACTTCTTTATACATCTAATTCTCTAAAGCACACTATCTTCAGTCAGGGATCTGGACATATAACTACTTTTATATATATAATAATAGGGTTTGAGATGCTTCTTCTATAAAAGCTGTTGTAGGATCTCTCTACTCACATGATCTGTGGTATTCCTGAGCTTTGCTGTGAAGATCTTAAAAATCTTAATTTACTAATTTTCCTAGGTTCCTTGGGTATATGGGACTTCTACATCTGCTTCCTCTTTACATCAAAAACTCTCACTACATGCTGAACAAGTAACATGGACTCCAAGACCTGAATCTAGATATTTGCCTAGAAAGAAAAGGCAAGTTCAGTTTTTTGGTACTGAGCCAAGCTAGCACTTCTATATACATGGCCACCCAGGTGCCCCCTTGCTTCACCCCCCCCCCCCAAGATCTCTTCCTCCTCAGCTGTATGACAGTGAAAGATTAATTTTAACAGAAACAATTCCTGTTTCTCCTGACATAACTGTATTTAAGAAAATGCGTATATAGGCATTTACACATTCAGCTTCTACTTAATCCTATAAAAATGCACTCACGCAAAAAGTGAACTGGAATTATATGAGGTAATGCTTATCTTCAAGTTTTTAGAATAGAAATGAAAGCTGTCTGTTTTCTGTTTTAGCAGATATGAAAATTCCACCCCTGATTCACTTGAAGAGTCTCTTTCCCCCAGAACAACAAAGCAAAAGCTATCTGAGCAAGACCTTCATAAAGTGTCAGAAAAACTCTCTCACAGGTTAAATGAACTAGATTCAGTAAGTGAAATCTATTCTTTGTTGTATCTCAGCACACTAGCCTTAGTAATGATAGCAGAGAGAACCAGAATATAAATTAATATTGATGAAAAGGAAATCTGCAACTAACACCTGACTTCAGACAGTTCTAAATTTTGAATGAACTACTGAACCTGACCCCTCAAAAAATCTGTCCAATAGATGTTAAAGAGAGCTTTGGGTGGGCACACTGGAGAAGAAGAGTTGACAGATGAAGACAACCTGTCTCAGCACAGTGACAGTGTCATGGATTATCACCGAAGGAAAGCTGAACGAGGTAACAATTCTTATGTCACTTAAGTGTTAGGATGGAAAGGAATATAAAAAAAACAAACCAACTTCTCATGTAAAGCTGAGTACACTGAACCACTCCTAGTTAGTTATTACGTTTTGTATTGTTGGTTCACTTATATTTTGTCTTGGATCCAAACCTGAGCAACAGTAATAATTACAATTAAGTTCCCATTTAACACTTAAATAGCTGCAGTAAAACTTTACTAAAAATACAAGGCAAACACAGCTGCAGTAAAAAAATGTACAGAAAGTGGGGGGAGGGACAGAATGCAAGCTCATCGATAGGACTGCGATTCTGAAATGAGGGTCTATTCACAATACACTTCATTGCAGATTCTTCTGTGCTGAACACTAGCATGTACATCTGGGCATCTTACAATCATATTGTACAGTGTGTGTGTGTTGGTGGCAATATGACTGAATAACCACCCTATGTGTACAGTAGGCTATAAAGCTATCATATATCTTGATCTAATCCACATGCACAACATTATATTGCAAGATGGAGCTGTTTGTGACCCTGGCATATAGAGTCTCTCCCCTTGAGCTACCTTCAGTTGTCTTTGCTGCTTTTTCCTATCTTGAATATCTCCTGGCACCTTTACTATTATATAAGCCCTAAAATTTGTGATTTGGGGCAGGGATAAATCTGAAGGCAAAGGCTTTAGCTTTTTATGACTTAATTGGCACTAAACTTTTTGACTCCTATGCTGTATGGGGTTTTGGGGGCTTTTTTTCCTTTTGTTTGGCTGGAGGGTTTTTTTTTGTTTCAGGTTAGATACTCAATGAATCGCCTTTCCTTACAGACATACCACATCTAAGGTACCCAAGCAGGCCACGATCCCTTTCTCCACCCTCACCCTCATCTCAACATCAACTCTTTTCTGAGTTGGAAGATAAACTTTGCAGTAATGGAACAGGCCAAATAAGAAAATTACACAGCCAGCTGCAAAAAGAAAGGGATGAAAGAACAAAAAAAGCAAAGGTAATTTCTAGGTTAGACCTATTGGTCATTTTTGCCAACAGTTATACTAAAAGCATTAAAACTGAATGCTCTTACTTAATGGGGGGATCTGGCCTACTTCAGTAATTTTGTACTGTTGTATCTGTAGACTGCTGAGGAACAAGACTTAAACCCCAAATTTTGCAAAAAAAAGAGTTTAAAGTAGAAGAAGCTACTTTGCCCTATACACTGAACAAGTTAATGAGGTGGTCATATGGACTGATTATTTTTGCTGAAAAGTCCTCTTATTTTTATTTTCTAGATGGTTGCTAAAGCTTATGAAGATGAACTAAGAATTTATGAAGCTAGGGAAAGGCTCAGACTTTCCAAGCTCAGAGAAGTCATCAAGGAAATGGTATGTGATGCACTATGGTGACTGTTGGTTGTGTTTTGTTTTTTTTGTTTGAAATTTGTCTAGATGATCTGTCCAGACACTGGATATGTCTTTTGGGTACAAAACCTCTTTGAATTCCAGTGTCATAGCTACAGCACTGTATATTATTAAACTAGTAAACGGAAGGACAGCTTTTCCTGAGATAGGTAGAAGCAAGGGACAAGTAGTTTTAGACATTTTAACACTTCTAATAATAACCTGTTCTTATGGGTAACTTAACCACCATGCTTTTCACATGAAGTGGTAACTTCAAGACACTCAGATTTACAGAATTAAAGCTAAGTGAGCAAGTAGATAGCTTCCATAGACTGTCCTAAACTTCTCCACAGATGGCACTTCACACACACATCCTGAACAGCTAGGTTAATAAGGTTGGAACCCCTGTACACTGTAGGCAATCTGCTTAATATTGTCATAGTCTTTTTAGCTACTTTAAAATTTGGGTTTGTGCAAGGATGATTCTCTAATGTTATGAATATGGCCAAGGGGTTTTTGCTACTTACATACTACTGGAACAGCAAAGAGCCTAAGCTGAAAAGCTCTGACATAACACTGTAGGCTGCACTGGCCCTTTTCACACCTTTGTAGAAGCAGTCCATAGGTGGCTGCAGTAGTGTTAAGTGCTGCAGAAGAGCTGATGTTATGCAATAGTGAGATTTAACCTTTATTTGAACCCCGACCTGCATTTGGTAAATTCTGGCCTTCTGGAGAATCCAATTCAATACGTCCAAATTCTCATTCTAAAGTTTCAGAGACATTTAAGTTCTGATACCCAAACTATGTGATCTATCAGTCTTTCCCTTCTCATACCTGTTCTCCATCTGTTTTACATCTGCTCCTAAGGAACAAGAATACAAAGAAAACATCTTTAAAGAACCTCCAAAAATGCCTCAGCCAGTGAAAGTTTATTCTAGAAAAACCACACCTCGGAATCCCAAATACAGCCAGTGGATTCCAAAACGAGGGACTGCGAAGCCAAAGAAAGCAGCTCCAAGTAAGAACTGCAAAACTATACTTGGTGGAAAACTGGCATCTTTTGAAAGCATGTGTTGAACTCCAAGAATAAAGGCATCAGTCCAACATATACCAGTCAGCTGTAGCATTTTCCCTTCTTATGACCTCTATATGTCTGGATTTTTGTTAGGGAAGATAATGCTTTAAGTAAATGTAAACCACTAATGCATGATCAAAACCGTGACCCATTTGCTACCTCCTTAAAATCCCTTGGATTATTTTCAAGGCTTATTTCCATTACTGCTGCTCCTATCCTTGCTCTACTGTAGTGTGAGCTCAGTCTTCTTTTTTTTTCCTTCTTTTTTTTGTGAGCATGTATCAGATTTAAAATTGGGCCTTTGGCTTGAGCAGACTGGTGCTGAGCTATGTACAAGTATTAGAGCAGAATCTGTCAACTGCTATAATTTTCCTTTCAAGACCCTGCCCTGGTGGTGTTAATGCTGCCACTGGTTTTGCTGAGCAAGTGTTGCTCCAAGAACAGCCAACATGCAAATCACAGGCTCAGTTTTGGTAAACAGCATTGTGCATGCTTATGTATAAGATCATGGTATAATCCCCTACATATCTGAATGTTGCTCAGGTACACTGCCTTATTTTTTTCAGTGTTTAAAGGGCATATACTTGGTTAATACCCATTTGTTTTGTTTCCCCATCATCTTTTCCTGCCAGAAAGATCAAAGATGTAATGGGAATGAGCTGGCTGCAAATCAGTTTATTTTACACCTGTTTACTTGACCTGGATCTGTCATTACTACTGCTGTATTAGCATTATTTAAGTTGCTGCAACCAATGAGAGACAAAGAAATCACTGATTAATGATGGTCAGAACCATTTGAAGAAAGAAGGGGATACCTGTCTTAATTGGATGTGGTGGTGGGAGGGAAATAACTACAAAAGCAGTTCTTCAACAGAAAGAAAAACCAAATAAAAACAACAAAAACTTGGGATTACTTTCTCTGCTGCTGTACTGACAGTTCTGCTGGGTTTAGCCTGATGACATAACAGCAGCATGGTACTTTTATATAGTGTTCAATCTAAAATATTTCATAACTTAGGCTGACACTGTCTGGAAGAATTTACCACTGAATGTATTCTCCAGGAATTTATTGCTTACATCTGTCTTTACCTTGTAGTGAAAGTAAGAGATGATGACCTCCTATTTCAGCTACTGGAAGAGTTTCCCCACCTACATATTTCCCACCATACTATGAATAAAATGTGGCAGCAGCAGCTTGCACATACTGAACAACTTAAGGCAGCTTCTGGCAGAACTAGACCAAAACTCCAAAATGAAGTAAGCATTCTTATTCTTACCTTCTAAGTGTCAGCAGGGATAGTACCTCTGACAGAACAGTTAGCAGTCATCAGTTTTTATTGCACAATAAAATCATCTTAACTCTTTGTATGCGGCATAGATAGGGTACATGCACACCCAAAGCACAATATGAAAGGATGTATGCCTGAGCTTGGTTGAATAGGAATGTACATATCTAGACATGTGAGTTCAACTTTTTATCAGCCACTTGAATATAATGTTCATTTTTTATACTAGTTTATCTAGTACTGTCTAGGATTGCTATTACTTTTTAAAAAGCATTTTGTAGTTTCAAGTGCTAATTCTGAACAGTCTTTTAAACTAAAAGTTAGTTACAAGATACAAAAGTTGGGAAGTCTCAATGTAAAAACCAAAACATAGCAGAGGAGCAATGGTTAATACTCCTACCCACAAGTGCCTGTCCTGCAGAATGACGGAAGTAATGAGCTTTTTTTAAATCTCCAGGTTCAACAAGCTCTGAAGAAGCATGAGCTTCTTGTTGCGATTATTAAAAAAGATCAAGACCATAACAAGAGACTGGTATGTTCTTTGAAGGCCATTTGATATGTAATATAAAAATTTCATGTTGAGCTAGTTAGAATGCATATTCCCTGGTCCATGAAAGTGGCTTTTTATCTTACAACAATTTTATGCCTCTTGAGTAGCTGTGGTCTCTAATGCCATGTAATCTGTTTGCTGTGTGGCTACTGAGCTCATGGGAATGGAATATTATTATTACACTGCACTGTTGCTTTAAAAGTGCAAACAAATTCTAAGCATGTGCAAGGAGGAGAAACTTTAGGCTCCTGGTGTTGCTGGTAAAAACACCAGCTACCATGGAAATGCTGACTCCTTATTTATATAGTGCTCTTGATGGTACTACTTTACTAAATCAGTGGTGACTAAAGCTTTAAACCATAAATGCAGTGTAAAATCGGGGTAGGGAGAAGGTCCTTAGTGAAGAACCCTGTTTATTTAGCAATGATTAACAAAGCTTTGCCTGCAGCAAAATATGTATTGGAAGCTTGGTGGTCTTACAGCTACTGTTCTCCATTTAGCAAGAATTTAAGCAACGTATCTGCCGACAGAAATGGGCTCAGAATAAAGTGAGAGAGAAACGCCAGCAAGTTGCTCGAGCCAGGAAATATTATGAAGATTACCGGATTCAGCTGCGTGCCAAGATGATGCGGGCTAGGACACGGGAAGAAAGGGTAAGGACAAGATGTCTTTCTCTGCAAGTGTGGAATTCTTTTTTGTTTGGACCCTAGTGCTGAGGACCCATAGTCTGGTAGTTCAAATAATGGTACAAGTAGCCAGACAGCAAGTTAAGTGAACAGAGCTTAGGAGCCAGGACTAAATGGTTGGTCACAAGTGGTCAAGGCCACAGATGACAAAGTTCCTTCTTTGGAAACACTGATACAGTTTAGGGGAAACCACTGTAAAACAAGAAAGGATGCTTTATGGGGTTAAGAGAAGGAGAGAAAGGGTGAAGTAACAGTATGGAAAAACAGGGCTGGTAACATGAGAAATTAGGGAAATGAGTTTTCAGAAACAGTAGGATTAAGAAGTTGTTCCTATAGTTACTATCCAAAGAAAACAATCTAAATCTTCAGTTAAGGAAACTGATCAAAAAGACAGCTTTGTTGTTCAGTTAAAGAGGACTTTTTGACAGATATGATCTCTAATTAGGGCTGGACATCAGCTAAGAGAAGCAAGTAGAGTTATTACACTTTGCAAGAGGAGATACACAATTTTCACCTTTTAAAACAAAAGATTAGAAGTTTAGTGTGTAATCCACTATTAGTGATTTGAGAACTGTTTGCCTCAAGCTGCACTGTAGCTGGTAAGTGTTCTTTTGTACAAATGGAAAGCCTGAGTACAGGCTGGATTTCCTGCTATTGGAAATCTGGATGAAGGTCCTGAAGTTAAACAACAGAACACAGGGTGGGCTGTAAATCACAGTGTTTGAAGACCCTGGCTTGCATTGCCAGGTTGCCTGAAGTGATTTTAAAAATATAACATAGATTTGCTGTTCTAGCCCCTTTCTTAGTCATATCACTGAGCAGACATGAAACATTTATTTTATCTATCAATTTCAGCTAAATGAGTAAAACAAATACAGCTCAGCTGTATCTGTAGCACTGTTACTAGATACAACACTGTGTACTTTTTCATGGGCAATGACCTATCTTCATGTGATCACCATTCTGTCAGGAGATAAAGCAGCTGAAAAGTGTAAATGTGTACTTAAAAGAGTCTGGGAAAGTTTTAGGTTTGCTTTTTTAATTGCTGGCAGATATTTAAAAAATTATTTGAAGAAGGCTTAGAAATTCAGAAGCAAAGACTGAAGGACCTGAGAGCATATGCTCAAGAGAAGCATGCTGAGCAAAGGAGAGTGCATCAAAATGAGTTGGAGTCTATGGAGAACTATTACAAAGATCAGGTAAGGCTTAATCTCCATTAAAGACAGTTAATACTTTTTTACACTAGAAGTCTTTCCTTTCTTTAATTAGTTCAACTCATGCACATGTTATGCTTAGTTTTCCATGCTAGCAGAAGCTTTATCTCAAGAACGCCAAGAAATCCAAACCAGAGAGAAAGCACAAACACAAGTAAGTATTTTTAATTTTGTGTAAATGTCTTTTCTTTTTACATGCTGTGCTAATGTCTATTTTCTTTAGATGCTACAGAAAACAAAAAGAGAATTAAGATCAAGGATGGAAAAGGAAATACAGCAACTGCAAGCAGCAATAATGCAAAGTGATGATGACACCTTTTTTCAAGAACTAGAAGCAGACAGACTGAAATCTAGACTTCAGATGGCTTCCTTTCAGTATAGCAAAAGCCATTTCTTGTAAGACTTATGATAACAATCATTGCAGTTCTCTCTGGCTAAGATGATGAGAATCTTTGAGAGCTGCTGTATCAGGAAGATGGTGTGTGGCTGTTTTTCTCTAAAATACCTGGTCTGTTGTTTTGACATGTCAGAGGTGTAGCTGCTGGGATCTGGGATCTCCACAGCACTTTTATGATCACCAATAAAGTGTTTGAACTACTTTCTCTGTTCTTAGCAAAGCTGAGATAATGTTGAGCTCCATGCAAAGGAAGTGGGATGAAGTCAGTGTGCTTTAGTGAAGTTAGTGTAGTGAACAGTTGAATGCTAAGCCTCCTCTACACCTGTGCTAGTTCTGTTGCTGGAGTTGAAAAGCCACACTAACACCATTAGCCAGAAATTACTGGATTGGAAAGCTCACAAAGAACAAAAAGATCTTTAAAAGAACATCAGTGGTTCAAGTTTCCTGTGAAAGGACAAGTTTGAGAATGCCTGCAATAAACCTGACATAAAAATCAGTAATTTAAATATACTTAAGGGAGTGCTATGTATGCATACTATGTTTACAGTTTTGGTGTTGCTGACATGTTAAATGGCAAAGCATATGAAGTACTACTTCCTATGCTACAAATGTATTGGAAAAAGTAGTCTGAAATAGAAAACAACATTCTTCTAAAGCAGTAAAATACAGGCTTCTGCAAGAACTGAAACCTGGGAAGGACCTCTGGACAGCATTGCTAACTATTTTCAAGAGGGGTATACTAATTGGTGTATGGTCTGTAGGTTGCTGTAGGTATTGTAATTGTTGGATTTCACACGGGGTTTTCAAAACTACATAAAGACCACAGGTAAACAAGCAAAGGTTTGTTTCAATTGATCTGTTTCAAAAGGGAGTCACAGCAATGCTATATACAAATGGACAGGCAATAAAAACCATGTTTGCTCTTAGAAGCAGATTATTTGGACAAAAGTTTTGCAAGGGTACTTACAGTTAGTACCCTGTTTAGGTTTATTTAGGGAAAAGCAGATTAGTTCCAGTTCTGTCAGTGTGAAGCTAGAGTAAGTAATGATTAAAAATTCCAGTCAGCTTTACTTTACTTCAGGTTGTAAGGTCTGCTTCTAGGCAGAGTAGGAGCTGACAGTAGGTACTACACCTATCTTTGTAGAATCATCATGTGCTATAAAGACTATGTTGTTTAGTAGAAAATTCACATTTCAGCAGCCCTGCATTACGGGCCCTATGAGATGCAAACACAGAGGAATGAATACTTCAACTGAGAACAGACTACACAAAATGAAGCTGATAATTAGTGAAGCCCATTACTGATATATTCCCCTCTGTTTGACAAAATTGCAATTTTTAAATAGTTTATCTTGGTAATGAGGATGAACTAAAGTGTAATTTTAAACAGGCTCTACTAGAAGAGTTCTTGCTTAAAATTGCATGTGTGAGAAGTGATATAAAAATACTGGAATTAATTGCATTGTATATACAATATTTAAAACTTACCATGAGATGGTGTCAATTCTATAAGAGAGAACACACTCAATGAATTTGGACTCATGCATTGGGAAGAAAAAGAAAAAAGAACAAAGCAGGAAAAAAAGCCCCCAGCAGCTGCTTTAAACAAAACAGCTAGCAGTTAGAGCATGATATACCTCACTTAAAAAAAACAAACCAAAACCAAACCCCAAAAACACACAACAACAAGCCGCCACAAAAACAGAACCCCACACCCTGATTTTCTGAACAACCATTTCCAGGGAGTTGCTATAAGCCTGGCTAATTTGAAGCCTTTATCTAAGGGACAATATTTACCAGTTAACTTGATCAAATTTAACAAGTATTTACCAAATTTATTTACCTTTTTTCTTCCCTTAAGGAAAATGGTTTAGCTTTGCTGAATTTTGAGAGAAGACATCTGTTCACCAATGCTGAGATAAAGTCCTTGCCAAGACATGTGTACACTATTACATGAAAGCCAAAAGTAAGACCTTTTTCATTTGACTAGAACATTTAGCACAATCTTTACTGTAGGTAACAGCATGTAGAAAGACAACAAGTTCTAAGTATTTTCTCCTGAAACAAAGTTACTTAGAAATTGTATTGTTACACTTTAAATATTTAATTAAGAAAAACTTAAAACTTTTAAAACCATTGATGCTGTGACAGTGCAAACAGCATACAATTTATTGCTCAACTTCTGCATGGGTACATACATTAAGTACTTAAAAACCATTTTATACAGATTTTTTTTTTGTTAAAGCTCATGTAACAGCTGGGTGAAAATACAATGATACCAATGCTAAAACACTCTGTAATAAATACAATGGAAATGATAAACTAAGAACTGTCAGTTTGTGGAGGAGTAATTACACTTGTATAAACTAATTACAACTACAGACAAAGCTCTGAGGATGTGGTAGAGCCAGAAACCTACTACATAGTGTAAAGTACAACAAATGGCACCTGTTAACTATATGGTGCTGTTTAAAATCTGAAGCAATTGTAGCATGCTACATTAAGCTGTATGATGCATACTTATGATATAGAAGCACAGCTTTTACTTCCATCAATGCAGCCAGTTTAAACGCACCAGAAGTTCAATACAGATGTAGTGTTGTAGAACAAGAATTTAAAAACGGCTTTTTTTGTCTGGACTC